AGTCGGGATAAACAACAAATATAATAGCTATGTCGTTCAATTTCATTTGCCAATTGCAAAATCCTTGAACACGTCATCGCCAAACACACCGTAACTTTTGTTGATGAAAATAGTCTTCTAGGAAATGATCAATATGGCTTTGGAAGAGGGTAATCAACATATTTAATAGAAGTAATCCGCGACCTAAGTCCAAGCGACAAGGAAGAACAAATACATATAGAGGTGGTGTTCTTGTATTTTGCCAAGGTCTTTGATCGGGTTTCTCATCCAAAGTTACTTCACAAACTCAAGTATGTTCTTAACAACGATCAAGTTCTGACCTGGTTTCAAGCATATCTTGTTGGTAGAGAGCAGTTTGTGCAGTTGAATAGTGGCAATGTCAGAAAAGTTATCCGTTATGTCAGGAGGGTCTCAGGGGTCTGCTCTTCAGCCGCTAGCATTCATCCTTTATATCAGTGTCATAAGCCGAGCCAATTCTGTATTAAAAAATACTGACGTCATATGAACAGAAGAAATTAAATTAGCATTTACAGAAATTGGCAAGCCAGTGTGACGAATGGCAAATGAAAATAAACAAAACGCCCAGGTGGTTGTACGGAAATACAATTACGTAAAACGTTTTCTTTTTTTTTATTTTAAATCCAATTTGAACGGGAATGCACACATAAAAAATGTTTGCAATAAAACGCTAAAAGCACTTTGGACACTTAGACGGAAGTTCAAATTTGCCGGTTCAGAGCTCAAATTCAGAGCATGTAAGTCACTGATATTACCAGCAGTCGAATATGCAAGCCCAGTTTGTGAACCATTCACGCAACAAACCATCTACAAACTAGAACGCATACGAAGTAAAGCTGCGCGATTTATTTTCAATCGCCATCGATCCACAGACTGTCTCCCTACTGAAGTCCGATGCGAACCTCCTGCTCGTAAGTACCAGGATGATGTTGACTCGAATTAAATTATTTTTGAAATTTCTACATGGTGATTATCTTATTGATATTCAAAAGTATGTTACCCACGTAAACTTCAATAACCCAACTGGAACGAATCATACCCATTTATTCTGCCGTATCGCTTTACTGCGAACTATTTTGAAAACTTCTTTTTTTGTAAACGTATCGATCACTGGAACGTTCTTACCACGGATGCTGTAAATAGTCAAAATATGTGTACTTTTATTGGTAAAATTTGTAGATCTTAAAAAAAAAAGAAGAGAGAAATCAGTACTTAAAAGTTTTTTGACGCCCCAAGAATTCTTTCAGCTCGTGAATAACTGTTTCGCCTCAAGTATTATCGCCCCCTGTTGCACAAAAAAGGCAACTGAGTGATGAAGAACTCTTTCGCATCAAAAAAGGAGTTTAAAAGCACCTCTTATAGGTGTTTCACGAAGCACCCTTTATTTTATTTTATTTTTTTTTTTTTGAGGGGGGGGGGGGTTGCTTTAAAGACCTTTTGAGGGTACAAAATATGAACAAGCCGAAGAACCCCTAAGAGCTCATTAACACTTGGGTTTGGGCCAGTGGTTCATACCGAATTAAAAAGTTACAAGCGCGAACAAAACGAGGATAATAAAGACACGAAGACGACAGGACAAGCGAGAGTTCGCACTTGTCCTGTCGTCCTTGTGTCTTTACTATCCTTGTTTTGTTACCGCTTTTAAGCTTTTAATCCCCTAAGAGTTCTTTTACGACCAAATTTTTCTTAGAGTGATACGGCGGGCAGTATGTGAGGGATAAATTAGATAAACCAATCAATTCGCACGCGCTCGCGCAACGAGCTTTGCCAGAGTTGGAGCACTGCTTTGACAATATAGCCCGAAATAGTTGACGCCTAGTACGTTGTTTTACTCGCACAGTTCTATTACTCCCTCTCACTTTATTCTGAACTGAACATATTGCGTTTAGTAGGATCGGCTCAAAATATCGGCTAGAAGACAAGGCCTGTGTATGACGTCATCGTTAGTGGACCCTCCCCAAGTGGCAGGCTCGTCCATCTTGGCGTCACCGCGCTTGCTAACGTCGCGCTCGTTGTGAAACACTGCAAAACGCGCTGTCGGCGATGATGACGCAAGCTAGTGACATCGCGTTGATCCAACAATGATGGCGTTGGGGACACGGGGAAAGGTGAAGAGGGGGAGGAAGGCGCAGCTTTTGCTTTCTGTCCTGGGGCAAAAAAAGTTAAATACGTGGGCGCTCTTGCGCTTGCACACTTTGAGCGCCGATGAAAGTTATGCACGCGCACTCTTCACTTCTTCTAGAATGTCAAAAAAGTTGCGAAAGCTCGTGCAATCGGTACCATCGGCTAAAGCCTCCCATTGTCGCTTTTTTTTCTTTTTGCGGTAGTTTACGTTAGGACGGGTATCGTATTCCACCAAGTATTCCGTACTATACTTCGTTTCATACTTAGCATGCAACGCCGCCGAAGCCACTGGCGCGAGCACGTGGCTTTTTCTATGGTTTCGTTCGCGCGAGCACGCGTGCAAATGATCAACGAGATCAAGCCTCATGCTCGCGCCAGTAGCTTTGACAGTATTGTACGCTAAGTGTGAAACAGAGTATAGGAAATCGATTCTTTTTGTTTTATATAATTTATTTATTGCGTTGATAGTAAGAACCCGTCATCCTAGAAGCTTCCGCTGCGGATGTGGTTCGAATGCATTGCATGTGAACGAACGAAGCCTCCGCAATCGCCACGCAGGAAAACAAAGAAAAAGAGACAAAACAACTTTTTATTTTTTATATATTTTCTCGCGTCCTGAACGTTGCTTGAGTAAGATTCGTGATATATGCGGTTCAAGAAAGAAGAGAAGAAAGAAGCCGCGAGCGCCCGTGACCGGTGGATCGTTGCCGGCCTCCGCGAGGAGTACGGTGTGTGTTGCCGTGCACGTCGCCGCTCGGATTGCAGCCGCCCGCCGTCAGTCGCCTCAGCCCGTCCGTCGCGGCCCCGTAGCGCACTCCAGCCAAGATGCTGCCCAAGTACAAGGTAATTACAGTTGCGTTGCGTTTTGGTTGAGACAGCCGCCAGTTAGGCAGCCTCAATAGGCGTCTGGTCTCTCCGCCGTAGGCGAGAAATTTAGCCAGTGCTGTACCAGGGTGAGCCTGGGGTCTTCTAGAGGGAGCATCACGCGGTATAGTGATACACGGCCGCGCACCGGAGCGAAGCTTATCGAGATCGGAACGGGCAAGGGTGGGGATCGAGCCCAGAATCACTGGGTCCTGCAGCGCGAGCTATCGCTCGTGCTCCAATGGACATATAAGGAGTACTCACTGGGTGCCATATTTGAAGGCGATGTTTAGAGCGCATGCTCAGAACGAGCTCACATCAATAGGCTGCTAAGACCGGCACTCTCGATGGTGCGGAATGCACGTTACAAAAGAACTGTGGAAGCTCGCCATCAGCACGCGCTCAGCCGTCGTGCACACAGCTATGGCCGCCAGGGAATACTTTCTATTGCTAAATTATCCAGACATCAAGGAGCATGCTGGGAACGTAGTTCCACGCGCTGCGCGCGCCGGCGTTCGCAGTAGCATTTTTTTAAAGCAAAAATATAAAACAAGTGGTAGTTCGCACGTGCGTCCGCATACGCCTTTTTGTTATGATTTCTTTAAAATATTAATTACAGGTAAGGCGACCGAGCGCAGCGCGTGTAACTACGTTCCCTGCCATAGCCTCCTCTATACTCCCAAAGCCTGGCAGTTCGACGACGGAGCCATAGAGTTCCCGGTCGCAGATTTGGAGCGCGAGTATCTGGTACCATAGGGCATTCCTCGGGGAACCTAGACGTCAGCGCACAGCTTTTGCAGCGGCGAGGATCCCAAACATGGTTTTCAAATCCGACTAGAAAAAAAGCGGTAGCGTAAGGAACACGAGGAACACGAGCGGACATTCCATCGCTCGGGAGAAGTGTGTTTCGACGTCTGGCCGCAGCGGGGCGCCCGTCACCTGGCTCTCCTGTCCTCCGTTGTGTGCCGCTCTACCTTTTCAATTTCGGCGGCCGCGTCTCGCGGCTATCTGCCAGGGTTCGTCAGTATAGAGGAGGCTCTGCCCCTGCATGCTTCTTGATGTTTGGGTAATTTGGGAATAGGTCTATTGCAGGCAATCGCTCCAAGTGCTCAAATTGCTGCAATCTGCAAGGGAGCTCGACGAGCGACGGGATTCATATATTTATTAAAATTGTACGGCAAATGGCTGGGCAATTGTGCTGCACAAGTGATACGTTCAAGCATCACTCGACATCAGGTCACGTGATGTCAATTTCCCCGCTAAATATAGCGGGGAAACAGAAATGCTCGGTAGATCACGGGACGGTAATTTTCCCGCTAAATTTGGCGGAAAAATTGACGTCACGTGACCTGGGCCGGCTTGCTAGAAACAGCGTCTCAGCTGAGACTGGGTGAAAGAAAGCACTGCCAAAGCCAGCGCACGCGCGCCCCAGACTTTGCAGTGCTTTCATTCACCCAGTCTCAGCTCAGACGCTGTTCTAGCAAGCCGGCCCTGATGTCGCGTGACCTATGGACCAATTCAACTTCCCCGCAAAATTTAGCGGAGAAACTGAAATGGTGCGTAGGTCTGTGACGCCCCATGATGCAACACTGAGCGCGTTGCATTCTGGGACGTCACAGGTCACGGCTTCACGAAATGCGGCTTCACAAAATCTGGAGCAACTAACCAAAAAACGTTTCACATTAAAAAAAATAACAAAAAAAGAAAAAAAACTGCATTTGTGGCATTGTGGATGACGTTTCAGCGCGCTTAGTGCCACAGCGCAGACCGTTTTCTCGCTGTCTAAACATATTACCGACCCCGCCCTTCGCCGAGAGCCCTCCGCAGATTGCAGCTACTGGCTATTCCAAATGCTTTGCGGGACAGCAGACGCTCCAGGGTTCTTAGAGTGTAGAGTAGTTTAGGGCAGCTTTACGGTTCAGTGAATACCGAAAAGTTGGGCGTTGCCACCGCACATGATGGGTTTTTATTTTTATCCTTATCCGCAGATTCAGCTTCATACCCACCTGGACGGCCATCTGCGACATAGCACAATCTGGGAACTGGCTCAGTTAAGTGCCTCGCTGTTTAGCGTACCCTTATGCCAACACGACCTACAGGCTGTCTCAAATAGCGGCCAGGGCCTTTAAGTCGACCGCAAAAATCGGTTTCTTAACCTATCGCGCTACGATTTTGTGCTGCGTTGCCCACAGGTGGTGCATTTTTTCTATAAATTTTGCGAAGAGCGAACTTACCTAAGGAAAAAGTAAAAAAAATAAAAGAAAAAGGCTTAACTCCTATGGAAACGCAGCGATGCCACCGGTCTTCAGACAATAGGGGACCCTATTGTTTGAAGACCGGTGGCTTCGCTGCGTTTCCCTAGGAGTTAAGCCTTTTCCTTTCTCTACTTTTTCCTCGGGTAAGTTCGCTCTTTGAAAATTTTACAGAAAAAAATGTACCACCTGTGGGCAACGCTGCACAAAATTGTAGCTCGATAGGGTAAGAAACCGATTTTTGGGGTAGATTTAAAGGGCCTGGCCGCTATTTAAGACACCCTGTAGAATAATCAGAGCCCGTGCACTAGCATTTTGGCGACATCACAGTGAGGTCGAGCGAAGACGCAGATTGGATACGAATGCTGCGTCAGTGGTCGGCTTGTCCTCGTGTCCAATCAACGCGTCGAAGGACGCTCGGCCTTGGGTCCAATAGCAGTGTCGGCACCACCCGACTTGCGATGACGTACCATGAAGAGGGGGGCGTTCGGAGGCCTCCATTATTCTAGATGATGTTGCTTATGTCCGAGCTTTACCAGAGCGACAAACAGAAAGAGCCGACACCGACCAACTTCAAACACGTGCAGCAAGCAGTCCATAGGGTATACCTTTGGCAGCCTTACAGTCTCTCGGTGCGTGTGAAGTACGCCAGGGCTTCCTATGCGGATCGCAAGTTCGTCTGCTTCTTTTGCAGGGAGTTGTGGCGACGTCAGAAAGACGCCAAGCTATGATTGGCTCTGATTGAAGGAGAGTGGGTAGACCTCAAGGCAGCTTGCTTCGAGGTCTACCCGCTATCCTTCAATCAGAGCCAATCAGAGGTCGGCGTCTTTCTGACGTCACCGCAACTCCCGCAACTCAAGCAGACGAACTTGCGTATTCCATAGTCCGCTTCACTTTAAGTCCGTGCGCAGTCAGATATGACGGTGCCAATCAGACAGCTCCGGAAGGGCATCGTCGCGGTGCTCATCGTTTTCTGTCGCCAAACGAACCAGTCACGCGCACTAAATGTGACGCGATCCTGCGTTTATTTGTTGTTGTCTTTTGTGTGTGATTGGTCTAGCCAGTGATTGAAAACCCGTAAAGGCGGCAAACGCCGTGACGATGCACTGTTGGTGCCGCTTGATTGGCTCCATCGAACTGTAGCGTCAGCTGGAGTCGGACTTAGAGCGATTCGGAGTTTGTAAGGCAAGGCCGCAGTGCCGAGTTCCCGACGTCACCGAAAAGAGGCGAACGCGGGACGCGGATTGGGCACGAGTGTGACGTCAGTGTTCGGCTGGAACTCGGGTTCAATCGTGAAAAACAGCGGCACTATCTTCGCTCAGGCACAGGGCGCAACGTGGAGAGCGCGGGGTTGATTTGAATGTCGGTTTTGACATCACGTTCACTTGCCGCTTTTTCTATAGCTATTTTAAATTTAGAAATAATAAATAGCATACCAGGAAGGGAAGAGTAAAGCCTGGGTATTCCTAAAATGTGTTAACTTTTGGATAGCTCAATAAACCACCGGAGCTCCCCTTTAGAGGGAAACTGAAGAGGTCCTTGAATTCGGACAAACAGTACAAGTTGTAATGTAGACACCTTAAAAAGCACGTGCCTTAAGTTTCATTTAGATGTCATTGGTAGGAGCGTCGTAACGGCCAATTAAAATTTCGACGTAGACCCGCCCATTGAGGCGCGCCGACGGCAGGAAAGAGCGAGAGCGGAGAGAAAAACTAGCAAAAGTGACTGTCATCAGCGGGGTCAGATGACCCTCGCTCGCGACTAAATTATTTCGGGGACGCCGTCAATGACGTCGTGAAGCTCTGGACAGATAACAGGCGGCAGAGAGGATCGCCACATGCCCGGTAGCAATTTCCGCACCATTTCTCAAAATAAATGCGGTTTACGCTTACTTGTGCACAAAATAACTGCCATAACTGAATTCACGGGACAAAAGGATGAAAAAGTTCGTCCCTATCTCAGATTTTTTTTTAAAAGTGCTTCAGCTTCCCTTCAAGTCCCTTAAAATCAAAGGGCCGAGCTTATTTCTGGTTTCCCCTGTCCGAGACCAAAATCGGATAGAGAGGGTGGTGCGGTCGCTGTTCACCCACGTGGGGGAGAGAGCTTCCAGTATTTGCCCAAGCATTGTGGTGGTTCCCCCAGCTTAGAACACGGTGCATCACCCTGTCTGTCCGATTTGGGATATTGACGTAGGAAGACATATTTTAAGATAGGAGTTGTTATGATATTTTGGCATGTCAACCTGAGGTATGTTTCGGAGTAGAGCCTTTTCAAAAGTCCGCGCCATCGCCCGTCCGCCATTGCTTGATCACGTACTCTGAGCATGCATTGATGGCTGCGTCAGCATTACACGAGTACTCGGATCCAATGACGCACTTCGTACCCGATGGATAGATGGCTGGACGGATGTTAATGGCTATACCCTTTGTAACGGGCGGTAGCTTGCGCCACCTAGCGAGAGAAGGGTCTATTGCTGCTCGAACCACCAAACTATTAAAGAATTTTTTTTTTTTTTTAAGTTGCTTGGGTTGCAGTGATGATTTACAAAATATTTACGTCGTGAGACGAATTTTGAATGAGGAGTTAGCGTTTCCGAAAATGTGCTTCTACATTTCGGTACGACGTTCCCGGTGTTCCAAAATATAAGCACCGAATAGAATTAGTACTTTAGGTTGAGCTAGTTGGTTCCCCCTAAATGAAAAAGGTTTGAAAGCGAAAAAAAGACGCAAAGACGAAGAAAGTACACACACAGGACGGACGGGCCGCTAACTTTCAAATAATTCAATTTAACCAATCGTACAGACTTTGCGCGTGTGCGCTGGTCTGGATTAAAGTAGTTGAAGCGTCGGTCCCATGCTGTATCTGTTTCTTTTTTATCTTTGTGTCTTTTCTTTTTCCGCTTTTAAACTTTTTTTAAAACCGAACAGAAGCCTGTCGGAATGCTCCTAATGATCCTGGTGACCCAGACAATGCGATATTTTATTCTTCGGGGAACGTTTCTTGCGTGATTTACGTGTTCTTTTCAGACACCTAAAAAAATATAACTTTTGAGGAGAAAGTTTTGCGTTTTATTTTCGTGCAATAAACGCCGATTCCGGGCTGACCTTGTCGTTTTTTGTTCGCAGGGCCAAGAAGCTGGACCTAGGCTACGCGAGCTTAGCGGACTTGGTCAGGAAGACCAAACCCGCGCAGGGCTCCACGCTGCAGAACTACCTCAAAGAGATGCCGGTGTTCCTCAGGACCATCGTGTGAGAGCCGCTCCGCTGCCGTCGACTTCTGCCACCTATTGGCAATTTCTTATTTCGCGTATTTTTATGAACCTACTTTTAATGTTACGTTTTTAGACCACCAGGCGCTGCGAATATCTGATTCGCTCCAGGAGGCTGGCGAGGAAACCTGCCGCCACAATGTTCTTGCTCTGGCCGCTAGGGGCCGTCAATTTCGCTGGAGTAGCCAATAATCAGGAACGGGTGAAGAAGCCAACAGATAATCCGCCTCGAGCGCGAGCTTTCTGCTTGTATCCAAGACTAGGTCGGGGCAAATTGAACTTTCTTTCTCGGAGAGGCTATGGTGAAACGCCACCCAGACGCTGCGCTTCAAAACCTGTACATTCTATAGTGTGAACTGTAGTTATTACTCGTATAAAATTCGTCCGTCCCCAAGATGGTAGCGCTCCGGATTATGGAAGGTGACCACTCGGTGAAGGTGGGGTTACCGCACGTGAATGCAGCGTCCATGGTCCATGGGCGTTCGCAGCAGCAGTGTCCCTAGATTGCGGAGTGTTTCCAACTGTTCGATCGGGGTACGGCTTTGATCGTCTGCAGGCGCCTTCGCCTTTCAGCCCGCTTTTTTCCTTGTCAAACGACAATGCAACGCATGCGCACTAGTACCCAATTGGCGCGGGAAGTGTCCGCCATTACATTGCATTGAGTTGCTCCCTCTCTTAAGTCTAGGCTCTCCGGTTGGTCGCGGCGACTCGCGTCGATCTTCAGCGTGCTTGCAATTTGGGGGAGGGTCGGGAACCCACTAACAGTGACGTCATGCGCAGGTCTTGTTTTTGAGGTGGCATTGGTTCCTTGTCTCTGCCGTGTAGAGAGTAATTAATTCCTCCGACCCCCCCCCCCCCCACACACACACACACGCATACACACACCTACCGCAGTTGGTGCACCGGCTGCTTTGTAAAATTTTTAGTATCTAGTACAGTCGTGTATCGTTAATAGGGACGCCTCCGTTCCCCAGAATAATCGTCCATAGTGTGAGTCGTCCATAATAACGAATCCGAGGCCGAAAACACAAATGTTGTTTAGCAAGCGCAAAATACAATAACGTTTTATATAGCAAAAAAAAAAAAAAAAAAATCACGAGATGTAATGTTTTTTTAAGGAGTGCGGGTCTTATCTCAGCACCGGCAACTAACAACGGGGTGTGCACTGTGACCTCGTGAATTCACTAATATGTTTTAATACTTTTTTGGGACCCACTTTTGAAAACTGGTGTTCACAATAACGAGACAACAACACACGTAATATCACAGTTCGTTCCCAAAGTAGCCGCCCATAGTCCAGACTGCGGGTTTCTATAATAATGGGGCAGGGTTGCCTGGCGACCCACCAACCGCAAAGCATTGCATTCATATTGCTGGGTATCCACATTAAACGGGGTTCATAGTAACGGGACATGACTGTATTTAGTAGGGAGTTTTCGTAGACCACGTTTCCCCCTCCGCTACGCACTCCGCAACGAAGAAGCCGCTACTGCGCCTGTGCTCCGATGGCCTTGACTGTAGAGTTCCGGGTATCATAGCGGGTTGCGGAGAGCGTTGCGGGACGGCGAAACCCATCTACGAAAGCTCCCTATTATTTTTAGTTGCACCAAAACCTTTTCGAATAAGGTTGGTCGTCCCCGAGTAGGCGAAGCAGGTACGGTTTACGGGCAAAAGGCTATGCGGAGGGCAAGTTCGTCTGCTCCTTGCGCAGGGGGTAGCGGTGACGTCAGGACGCCGAGCCCTGATTGGCTCATCGCAACCCCCTATCTGAGCGTCGTCTGCTCCTTCGCAACGTCGTCTGCTCGCAACGTCGTCTGCGTCTCTCTTACCTTTCCTGCGACTTTCGGAAGTGCAGAGGCCAGATTCACGAAACGATCTTACGCCAAAAATATGCGTAAGACAAAACTTAAGAACAAATTCGTATTCGCGAAACGAAATTTTTGTAAGTTTTGCGCAGGTTACGACGAAATCCTACGACAGCTCCGAAGCTGTCTTACACACTTCTTACGATCAAATCAGCATGGCCGACAGCGTCGCGGTCGCGACGACCCACGGACGTTTATTTTTTTACGTGCGCTTCTCACGCGTCCCGACTTCGAGCAGCAAGAAAAATTAAGAAGTACTTGAAGCAGACCACGACGAACAAGAACGCTGGATCCACAAACACCCGGGAAAAGCTCCAACGGCCACGATTCCACCGACAACGACCCAGCGAGCACGGCAGATAGGCCTAGCAGGCACTCCGACTCGGCGACCGTCTGCCCACGACCGGCTGGCGCGCTGAATGAAATATGCCCGCGCGACCCTTGTGAACCCTTCCCGTCTTATACTTTGATCGCTGACCTCAATTTTAGATTAAGAGGTCAATCTCTTCCTCTTGTCATCTCCTTGTTTTCCGAGGCAGCGGTGACTCTCGCCGGTGAAAAAGCGGTGAATCTCCGACAGAGGTAAAGCAGCCATCGCTTTGACTACCAGACGTAAAGCAGACGACGTTAACTGCGCCAACCCGCCGACGCCGTTATAGAATGAGGGGTCTCGCAGCACACGAAAGGAGGGAAAAAGTATTTGGGAGGGAACCTGCGGACACTAACACGCTCACTCTCGGTTCTTAGCAAACAAACCTCGGCGCCTCGGGACACCTCGCCAGTGAGTCCTTTGAATTCCCTCCTTGATGCGCGTCTGCTAGTTGTTAGACAAAAACAACGTACCGCTCGAGTTATTTCGTCCGCCCTCTCTAAAAGGCGAAGTCGAGCTCGCTGGTAACGACCTGCACGTCCGAAAGTCGAAGACAGACGCAGACGACGTTGCGAGCAGACGACGCTGAGATAGGGAGTCGCGACCAGCCAATCAGGGCTCCGCGTTCTGACGTCACCGCTACTTCCTTTCTCATGCGCAGAAGACGAAAATTAGCCCACTTGCGAGGCGTATAGGCAGCTCGAGCCGCCACCCGATTCAAAAGGTCCAGCCGTATTCCTCCGTCCATCCGTCAATCGCAAACGTCCTTCGTGCTTCGACTCGCTCGCTCTCTTAACATCTAGCCACTCTGTACCTCGCAGGGGCGACCGGAACGCCCTGGTGCGGGTGGCGTACGAGGCCGGCGTGGACCAAGGAGCGCAGGGCGTGCTGTACAGCGAGATGCGGCTGTTCCCGCAGATGCTGGCCAGCTCGCAGACGAGCCTGCCGCTCGACGGGTCGCCGCGCACCATGAAGACGGCCCGGGACGTGGTGGAGGCCACCCTCGAGGGCTTCCGCAGGGCGGAGAACGAGTACGACGTCAAGCTGCGCCTGGTACTCGCCTGCTTCAGGGACATGCCTGGTAAGCAGCCGGACGACCCTGCCTGGGGAACAGCTAGAAGACAGGGCCTGCACATGACATCACCGTTAAGCGGCAGTCAGACCGCTCACACAAAAGACGCGGCCTTCGTTGCGGACACGAGGACAGAATTGCCTGTGCTCAGGCTTGGTTCGAAGCACGTTTGCCTGCTTCAAACATGAGCGTACCAACCGGGGGGGGGGGGGGGGGGGGGGGGCAAGGTCTGTATTTTGCCCCCCCCCCCCCCCCCCCAGCCCCCTGAAACAGCTGCCACTGGGCAGGGCAAACACTGGTCGGCGGCGCCCAAGAGATACCAAGGGCATCGCTCCCGGCCCTCGGGGGGGGGGGGGGGGAGGGAGGGAGGGCGGGGGGGGGGGGAGGGGTTCTGGTTTGCCCCCCCCCCCCCCCCCTCCTTCACTCAAAAACAAGTTGGTACGCCACTGGCTTCGAACGTGCCTGCACACTGTTTTAAAGCAAGAAATGCTTTTTAACGCAACTCCCAAAATTTGGCCTGTCTGCCCGTTCTTCCGTCCGTGCGTTTCCCACTAAATTTAGCGGGGAAACTGATATCCCGAGGCCTATACACGAATCCAGTTCATCAGCTACATTTAGAGGAAAAATTGACGTCACGTGACCTATACACCAATTCTGTTTACCCGCCAAATTTAGCGAGAAAATTCGAGACCTGGCGCCTAAACGCCGATCCAGTTTCTCCGCTAAATTCTGCGGGGAAAATCGACGCGACCTGGACAACCTTTGAGTTTCCCCGATAAATTTAGCTGAAAAATATACACTTTACGTGACCCGCAAATTCCCTATAACGCATTTTTTTGTATGGCCAACGTTTAGCAGCAGGACTGTCATACAAGCAAGAAACAGACCTCAGGACACTGTCTGCATACTGTTTTTCGTGCGACGTAGCATCTGTCAATGTGACCGCGTCATTAGTGGATTCCCGACCAGCCCCGAGACACGCTGAAGCTCGACCAGAGTCACGCGTCCATCTTGGCGTCGCCGCGTGCTAATTAATGTCACGCTCGTTGTAAGACGCTGAGTAGAGCGCTGTCGAGGATCCTGACGCGAGGCAGGCGGCGTTGCTGGAATTCACTATGGCGGTGACGTCTGGTGGTGGTGGGGGTGAGGCGCAGGACTCGTCTTCTAGGTGGCACTGGTCGAACGCGTCTTGGGCTGGCGCGTTTAGCGTCCTATCCCGCCCGCACATCGAACGTGATCCCCAGGTGGCAACTAATGACGTCACGGATGCCGGCGTGTCCTATTGTTGAATGTCCTGGCGGTTGGTGCTAGAACATTCCGCACCAAAAGAACGAGCGAACGCGAGTGTCGCTGTCCTCGGGGAGTTCCACTCCAGACTGTCAAAGAGGAGCAACCCGCAGCAGAACAAGCTTCCGCCACGTGCTGTGACACCGCCAGGATCGCGGCAGGCGACAGTGTGGCACTTGTATGACGTCATCAGATGAAAATTGGGGGGACCGCGTCTGGGGTCGCGCCGAACGCAGGAGTTGGAGACACGTTCGAGACACCATAGCGAGATGGCAGAGACGGTCGCTCACCACTTGACGGACCGTATAGGGCAGAAGCTGGTCATCGAAAACACAAACCTCGCGTGGACTCGCGTCGGTGTCTTTGACCCCGAATATAACGCAGGCGCGAGCTGGTTGTGAATCGACGTTCCGAGTTCTAACGGGTTCCACGAGTGCAGTGAAGACAAAGGAAGCTGGCTTTTCGTCTACCCACTATTCATTCCAACCATAGCTCGGCGTTCTGCCGTCTCCTTTGCGCTCTAGTCTCCTCCTCGCCCTCAGTTTCCCGGCGCATAAGATCTGCGAGAGAAGTTTCGCTCCTAGTGCGAGCCTTCTACCTTTCGGCGGTCGTCATCACGCGCGCCCAAAGGACGGAAGAAGGCAGCGAGTGCGTGCTGGAGGGGAAACTCTTTTGGAAGATTTGAGGCTGCAGCAGTCTAGAGACACCTTTCGTGACAAACGCCACCAGGCGGTGCTCCAGTCTTTGACGTCCCGGAGAACTTCCGGTTCATAAAAATAATGAACAAAGCCCACCTTAACGCCGCTGCTCTAGATGTCAATGAACGATTCTCCAGGTGAAAGCCAAAAGATCGAAGAAGCGCGAGATCTGTTCGAAGTTTCCGAACATTCTTGTAAACCAAATTGACTCTTCCAAAGCGTTAAATTGTACAGCCGAAGGCCCTCGTTAAATCTCCGACTTTGCTGTCCGTTCAGCATTCATGCTCTCTAGCACTGGTGACATAAGCAAGCTGGGCAAGCTTGCAAAGATGAAGTGACCGGAAGTCGCTTAGGATGCAAGCGGCAGCTCGTCTTTGTAAACCGTAAGATGATTCATTCACTCTTGCGGTGTGAACCGCATAAGCGAAGTAGTTGCTTCAAGATTCAGAGCAGTTTCGCGAGCATTGGATGATGAAAACGAAGAGACCCGCTTCGCGGTTGCGATTTGAATACCAGCGTAAGTGCATTAAAGGGGTCTATAAAGCGACAAGTGTCGCTTGTACTGCCTTCTCAGGCAGGCACTATCTAGAAAGAGAAGCAAATGAACGCGGCCGAGCTGCCCCTGGGAGTTTCCGGCGTCGGCTTCTCCGTAGAAAGACTGCTTGTGCGGGGAAGCCGAACGGCGTTCCGGGTTGCCGCGGCTTTTTTTTATCTCCAGTCACAGTGTAAAACGAGACGCCCTCTCACGTCATACCTCTGCCATTTTAAAATTGCTCCGAAATGCCCGGTCCGTGGAGGAAAAGTACTTCGTTTCACTTTAAGTTTGACCGCAACCGTCGCTAACGGCCCGATTATGCCAATCAATCAATCAACACGGAAAATTGGCATTTTACGTGTTTTCGGATATATCCGAAAACACCCGCCGGTAAAATTTTCATCAATTCGGATTTATCCGATAAACTCCGAATTTCGATGCACTAATTCAGAGATAAGATGACAGATGGTAGTTTACCGTTAAGTTTGGGCTGCACATAGGGTCAGTTGTCTTGAGAAAATGTCACCCAAGTTTTCTTTCAAAGCTCGGTCGAACCATTGACAAAAGGAATCTTACCAGTCATCTCTTCAAGGTTCCCCGGGACAACAGGTCTTTCGAGTCACGACAAAAGTCACTGTACCGGTTTCCAGTTTGGGTCATACTATTTGTGCTCCTTAGAGGACAGAGGGATTGTGTTTTTGTAACAGTGACAGCCGTGAACCATACATATAATATAGAAGGTGGAAGAGGGGGCGGGGCAATTGAAGCTGTTGTATTTTAGCCTTTACCACTTCACCCGGCGAAGTAGCGGGGTTGGTTGATGAATAGGATGGGATAAATATGAGCTTCCTAGCGATTCCATCCGGGAGTTTATTGATTTTAAGGTTTCGACGTATATCGAAGCGACACTTGTTGGCAACGTTTGTCGGGGGGCAAATTAGTATTGCCAATGGAAATGGCGCCAACGTCAAATTCAGCCGAAGAAATATTAATTGATAAAAGCTCGTTATAATAAATGTAGCACTTGTTTGTGCCCGAATAAAGAAAAACAACACCGCAAAATTTAAGCTCCGAATTTTGGAGAATTGGGAATCGAAGAAAAATAAACTCCGATAAGCTCCGAATTTCCGGCAAGAAATAAACTCCCTCCAAATTTGGCGAAAATGAACTCCGAAAACACGAATTCCTAGTTATCATCTACAAAACGTTTATTATCACCGAACTAAACAACCACAACCTTCGCGAGGAATCGCGGTATGTGGGAATAAAGAGAAAATGACCCCGCTGCAATTTTGTGGACAATCCCGTCGCTGTCTTTTTCCGCAAACGAGCCGCAGGCGTCCGATCGTGGCCGATCAAAGTATGCGTGCACAATGGCATTCAAACTGCCGGGAAATCTTCACACACGCGCATGCGAAAATGCCGACCTTCTACGAGCGTATATGCAGACCGTCTATAGAAAGTACACCGTTTAAAATGTCTGCAAAACCGGTCCAGCGTGTCACATTCACAGCCCAGCTCGCGCATCCTCGTCGCTTCGGAAAGCGAGCAAAGCACGCTTCGTAGGCACGAACGCCAAGAGCGGCATCAGCCAGAAGCCCGTTTCTGGAATTGTCTATACGGGCATAAACTGAGAGAGAGGAGGATGCAAGAGCGGGCAGGGACGCCAGAGCGCCGTACTCTCACTCGAATTATTAGTAGGCAGGCACAAAGCTAAGCTTCCTTTGTCTCCATTCGCTGTTCGAACGCGAACGGCGAACGATAGACGCCGGCGTTCGAACGGCGAGTAGAGGCATAGCCTCCTCTACACTCGCAAAGCCTGGCAGTTCGAAGACGGAGCCAGAGAGTGCCCGGTTGCAGATTTGGAGCGCGAGGATCTGGTAGCACAGAGCATCAAAGAGCCAATTCTCGCGGTACCTGGACGTGACCGCGCAGCTTTTGCAGCGGCGAGGGTCCGAAACACGCTTGTCCGCTCGGGAGAAGTGTGTTTCGGCGTCTCGCCGCAGCGGGGCGCCAGTCACGTGGCTCTCCTCCCATCCGTTGTCTGCCGCTCCACCTTTTCCATTTCGGCAGCCGCTTCTCGTTGCGATCTGCCTGGCTTTGTCAGTATATAGGAGGCTATGATACAGGCAAAGGTCAGGTAGCTTTGCCTCTACCCACTAATAACTCCAATCGGAGTTCGGTGTATTCATATCCCCGCATGGTAACGTCTCCTCTTCTCCCTCAGTTTATACCCGCATACTGCGTTGCGAAAAAATATTTGCGAGAGAAAAATCTCGCAATTACGCGTGTCAAAAGCACGACAGAAAGCAACCAGTGCGTGCTGGAAGGGAAGTTTATATATATATATATATATATATATATATATATATATATATATATATATACGGAAGAAAACGCACCTGAGACGGTTGTTGGAGTTTTTAAAACATATTATTGGTAAAGTTGGTCGACGTTTCGGCCTGAGACAGACCTTTTTCAAGACTGGC